ATGGGGTTGTAGCATTGAGAGGTATAGGCACAACAGAAGTGGGTCATATAGTGTGTCTGTTGTCTGTCACAAGCTTGTGTATTAACCTTTGTTCTGGATATTTCATAAACCAAGATACATGTTAGGACTGCAGCTGGGATTTTAGAAGTCATGAACCTAAGTTACTTCACAACCCACCCAGCCACGTTTTGTGAATACTTTGATTGTTTCACATTTATTTTTCCTTTTTGTGGTTAAATTGTAATTGCTGTTTTTTTACTTACTTCATAATTGTCCTTTTCAACACTGCTAGAAATATACCTCTCAGACTAATGCTTTATTTTATTGTGGGAACTTCATGGACTGAAATTTACATCACGTGAACCTTTGCAGTCATGTAGACATTAAAAGCATGAACTGGCCTTTAAAAAAAAAAAGCAAGTGTTAATTTTTCTATCACTACCTTTGTTGTAGTGATTCAGGGAAATGAAAAGTCATATTAAATGGTGTCACTGGGGCAACTGGTCGCCCTCTGACAGAGCTCAGAATAAAGATGATGCCAGTCAAATCATTTCTCAGGTTTATCTCTGAGTCAGAAGGAAAGTAAATTTAAGACCGGGGCTGCTGTCTGGCTTAGCCATTGCTGATAATTTGGATGATCGCCTGATCACCCGGTTACCATTTCAGCCAGCAAGTTGACCAGATGTATATTCCTATGCAGTCATACATTGTATTTGCATTCTTTCTGACCCAGAGAAAAGTGTGGAAAATGAAACAACTGAAATCGTGTCTGTTCTGTGCTCTCTCTGAGGCCACCCACTGCCCTGTTGACGTCATTTAACGCAGCTCTTTGTTTGCCCAAATCTCTACAACAAAGGCAGTGATAGCGAAATTAGCACTGGCTATAGAGTCACCATACCCACATTTAGGGGAAATACAGCAGGTTAAAAAGAACTAAAGTCCATTATCATCTTGAGTTCAATTAGAATTTCCTAGTGTGCAGTTCTTCAGATGTCCACTAGGCAGTGGCTTAAAACAAACATTGACCGTGTAATTCCCAGTATCCCCAGTTTGAGTCTGGCCATGAAGTTATGTTGTATGTCATTGCCACTGCTTAAGTAAAGCAGTACTATAGACAGGCAGCATTCATTTGTAAATCACCGCTGCTCCTCATAGTTTTTGCCTTCATCCAGACAGACAGTTCCAGTAATTCAAAGACACACAGATTTGCTGAGTTTTCTCTGTCAACCTCAAAGCGTCATCATTCCTGTGTTTAGATGGGATTTCCCACAACCTAAAGAGAAACCTCAAAAAGCTCCTTCAGAAACCTGCATGTTGTATAACAACACTGTTGCTATTAATAAATTTATAGATTGTTGAGAAAAATGAATCATGTTCAGTCCTTTTCCCTGGAAAATCAGTGACTTTACAATAGGATTTTGGCATAGAATTATGCCAATATACTTTATGTGTGTCATGTTGATAGGGTTTCTGCTCAGTGCTAATGCTAAATGATTTATTGCCATGTTTTTAATGAAAGTAACATGGCCTTTCTTGTCTTTAGCGACCTATCTTTGGGACATTCACCAATGAGAGAGTTCTGTTTGACAACATACTGGTGAGTAAAACCATATAAACTACTTCTAGCTGGCTGATGATGCTCATGAGGTCTGGGCATTTGGGATTTGAGGGCATAGTGGTGACGTTGGTTTTACCCGAAAAACGGCAACTACAGGGAATTTTAATTAACCTAAACTTCCTGTTAATAAAAATTCCCAAACGCAGTGACAGATGTCTGCTCTTTGTGTGTGTGTTGCTTTCAGAGCTGAGGCTGTTATGTAAATATGTTAATGTGATTTTTTTTATTGGTCATTTTAATACATTTTTTTAAATACTGTCCCCTTTCAGCACCATTCAAGCGTCCCACAGTGACAGATGGCAAAAATCTTGTCTCTTTCTTGATGATATCATGTTTTGATGGAGCCCAGACCTTCTTGGTCTCTCTGTTGTTGTGTAATGCAAATGGCAATGGCAGACGCCACAAAAAGTCAATTAACCAGCAACAAAGACAGTTATTTAGCTGCCCGATCATTTGCCTGCTCTGTTGGAGGAGGGGAGTCTGTGGTGAGCCTCTGCCAACTGGCACATGACTTATTTAATTACTTAGCCCAGCGGCAACGAATGAAGCCGGCAGATTTATGGATTCATCCATTTTCCATTTATCAGAAAACAATAAAAACGTCCCTTTATGCCCTGTCTCAAAAGCACCCCTGGGCCTCGTGGCTATTAAGCGGCATCTCCCTGCTCTGCGTATAGGCCTCTGCTTTTGTCAGTCTAGTCTAAGTAATGGACTGCAGCAGGTGGGTGGGCAGCCCGCTGTTGATTCACAGGTACGATATTGGGGAACATGACTATGAAAGACTGTTTAAACCCTCTGAGAGTGCGAAGAGCCGAATGTGGTCTGAAGCCAGACTGGATTATTGATGCTTGGTGGCATTTGTATTGGTGGAGTGTGACGTTTTTCAGCTGCTCTGAGGAGCAGAGTCTGGTGCTTAAGTGGTCATTAAGGATTGGATTGTAAATGTGATGAAAGGTGTGATCCTGAAAATGTCTGCTAATACACATTCAACAGAGAAAGGCTGCTTTTCCTCAGGTTAAACCAATATGTGAGATGGATAATTGCTTTTCATTAGAAGCTGTTTGTCTGCCTGTCAGTGTTTCCTCACCAAGGTAAAGATACTGTGAGACCTGCCGTGCTCTTGCATTTTCACAGAATAAGTGAAAAATCAACAATTTGTGTTTCCCAGCTAATCATAACTGGGGCTTCGCAATAGGCCTTTTTTATAGCTGTACATACAGATGTAACACTAATATGATGTTCAGCTGATGTCTGAAGTTTGTTCATGTATTTAACAGCTGTCAATCAAAACTGTTCTGTGCGGAAGCGTGTGCTCCCAAAGGATATGGATCAACAGCAGTTTGTGGGTTGCACACAGATCTGAAATGAGAGCAGTAGGTGGGTTGCACACAGATCTGAAATGAGAATATATGTGTGAAAGGAAGTTGTTGGCCTTTGTTCCTGATTGATTAAACTGCCTGAACCTCCATGTGTGAAAGGAAGTTGTTGGCCTGTGTTCCTGATTGATTAAACTGCCTGAACTTTTATTTCAATGAGCTCGGTTGAACATTCCATGTACTATGGCATCACAATGCAGTATAATCTTCATAGAGAATCGGATAGTAGGTCTGTCCTGTATATGGTGGCAAGTGACATTCTGGCATCTACCTTCTAATTCCAGCCTGTTCTAGCTACCTTTAATGGTGCATCTATACTCAGCGAACTTAAAAATGCACCACTAATAGCAGTTTTAAGACCCCAGAGAACATTGTACAGCCTAGGAGAACAGTCATGTTTAAAATGCATAGTCTAGAACGCCCCTGCTATTCCTGGGATATGATCGGTCACGTACCACCGGTTGTTGCATGTAACATGTATAAATGGTGTAATCCTGAACTCATGTTAAGAAAAATTACCGGCAATGCATGTGATATATGTTGAGGCATCATTGCCTTTAACGGTTCCACTTCTGTTTTGGGAATTTTGACCCTCATATTGTGCATTCAAGAAACTGTGATGATGCTCTGAATATTTGTTCTGAGGCTTTTTAAGCAGAGAAAAGCTGTATCAGTGAACTTGTATTTCAAGAAACAAATCTATATTACGTCTGCAGACTTCTAGCACAAAATACTTTCCACAGAAAATTCCAAATATTGACTTCAATGCCATTATAGTAATATTATGTGAAGCTAAATTTCCAATTTTGAATTTTGTTGATAGTCAGAATTTTGTTTTTTAATTCAACTGGGTAGCTGTAAAATAAATTGGAGGTCATGACTTTGTGCCTAATCCATTGCAGTAAATGCAGCCTTTTTGAATATGGAGTGATATTAAATATCAAGTGGTTCTAAAGTCGCCCCGCTCATCAAGGGGGTCACGAATCTGACTTTTATGGGATTTATAGGACAGAGCTACTGAGAGGAGCCACATTAGGCAATGCTGAGCTTTAGTCTCGCAGATTATCCACTCGGTGTTCATTGCCTTTTTCCTATAGAACTGTGAGGTTGGCCAAGGTTTTTCTCTCTGCTTGACTAAAATCTCATCTGGATTTAGCATTGGCGGAGGCGTGATGGCACAGGTGGAACGGGGGTGGATTATGCTAACGTTATATGTACCAAACAATGGTGCTCTCAGTGGGACAGGCAGCCAGAAAAAACAGCCACCATGATGTCACCACAGACGGCTTAGCTCTCATGCATCACAGGGCTTTGTGGCATTCCTCTAATAATAAAGGCAGAATTGTGCCTAGATCCTAACAGATTCTTTCACTCTTGTGAGCATTATACTTGTTGTTTAGTGAATAAATCCAACATGCAGCATCAACCTTGATCATACGACTCCGGAGTGAGACTAGAATGAACTCTATCATCTTACACATTTTGCAAAGCAGAACAGAAAGAAAAATCTTCATTTCATGATCTTGTTATTGAACTTTTGTCCGAGGTTTTCATCCCACTCATGATGCAACATTTAATACAGAGCCTGAGAGCAATAAGCCTTTGATGCTCTTGTCATTAACTTGATTACTGCTGTAATTTAATGACTCTTAAATTTAGCTACTATTTAGCTAATTTACTGCAGTCATTTGTCGACAGCCGTGCAGCTCTTTGATTTTAATTAAACTCTTATAAACAGGCTTATAGTGAATTGTTAATATGACTGGGTTTCTAATGACGCTCACCAAGGAAGCAAATGGTGTGAATTTTAATGAAGCTGGCATTTTGTTTGCTTGTTGTTGCGTCTCTGATTAATTATTATTAGGAGCTGTGTTTACAGTCTTCTACCATTAAGGCTAAATTGTGTGAGGAG